CAAATGCTCTCTGGACCCTGTGGACAATCTGGAACATTAAGATGTACAATAAGGTCACGGTCTTCAATGCTTTTTAGAGACCTGAGACATCCAGCAGGCAGCAAATAGTCCATCAACAGCTCTGTTGCCTCTAACAGCTCCTTTAAATTTGTGGCATCTTGAATCTAAAAACAAAATAACAATAACAACAACAACAACCAAAAATATTAATAATTATAACCTTCTAAAGTTATGACAAAGCTCAAAATACCTTTTTGACCTTCTCATATAAACAAGAGTCTGCAATGTCATTCAGTGTGGGTTTTGCTGACTCCGGGCCATTAACCAAACAGGAGAACAGTACTTGAGATAGAAATCCTGGAGCAGGCCCCCCATGGACTAAACTTACAGCAATTGCTTGTCCCGCGATGTAATAGCGGTTCTCTCTTAATGCTGAAGAAAAAGAAATTACATTTGGGACAAGAAAGTTCACAGTTCAACAACAAACCTGTTAAATTGTAAACTCAGTAATCTTACACACCCTCCTAATGCCGAGTTCACACTGCATGATCTTCAAAACTGAGACTGAAAATTCAGACTGAATCTGATCATGGATGGGAAAGGGACATCGAGGCTGTCCTTGCTTGAGTGCACAGAGCGAATGAGGAAGACCATGATGACACTCCTGAACCATACAACCCTGAACAAGAGCAGGAGAACATGTGCGGGACAATCTGACTGCTGCTGTGTCTGCTCCAAACATTTGTGTGCTGCTCTCCATGAGCATGACTATCTGTAAAACATTTAAACAGAGTAAAATATTTTACAATTAATGATGTCAGCATTTCATTTCATATGTTTACAATTACATGCTAATTTTGTCAAAGCTTCTTTACTTTTGTGGTGTACTGGGCTAAAGCACTGAGCTGGTCAGCAGAAGGTTACTGGTTCGATCTCCGCAGTCGTCACCACCGGTGTGTCCTTCAGCAAGGGTCTTTACTCCAGGTTGCTGCAAAGGGATTGGGGTCCCTGTAATAAGAGCACTGTGAGTCACTTCGGATAAAAGTGTCTTGGGCACTGACTTGAGCACTGTGAGTCACTTTTGTGTCTTGGGCACAAACGCTCAATAAAGCTGCTTATTTCTTATAGTAGTACCTTGAAGAAATAAACTTTATTATAAATGCATGCATATATTTCATACAGTTTATATTTGGGGGGTTTAAAGGGTTAGTTTATCAAAACATATAAATCCAGTAATTATTTACTGACCTTCACACTAGTTCAATCCTTGTTTTTTGTTTTTCTGAACACAAAAAGTGAATTTAGTTAAGTTTGTTCTGCTGGTTTCTGTTCAATACAATATCAGTCAATAGAGCCTGACGTTCAGAAGCTTCATGACATTATTTGATGATGCTTTTAAAGCTTCTGAAACTCAGGTTTCATTGACTGATGTTGTATGAACAAACCAGTACACTCGAAAAATTTAAGTATTACTACTTAAAAATTAAGATTGCAACAAACTTGACCAAACTCACATCCTCAGTGTCTTTTGGTTTTTCTCTAGATGTTCTCACTGGCTCTGGGGTAACTGAGGATGAAGAGACCACAGCAACATCTGGTCCAGATGAGACAGTAAGAGGTGGAGTGATGGAGCGTCTCATCCGTGGCACTAGACCATTTCCAGGATGCTGCTGTGGACTCCTCCATCCTCACTTCACACACCAGTCTGCGGACATTTGTGTGCAGACATAATACAAAAGCAGTCATTTTAACAGCACAATGTCATTTGATTTCTGTATTAGAAGTAACAGAATGATCTTACTTTATATTTTTGTTTCAGGTTTTCCCTTTTTTCCACAAATGCCGCCATCACCACCTTTCCTTGCAGGTCCTGCTCCACCACAAAAGCTCTGCAGCAAATGCACAGGAATCAAGAATCAGAAAAGTGCTGTGATAACTGTTTGAAATTACAATCATTAAAATAAACTACAACTTAAGATTTAAAATATGTTTTAATTTATTTCAGTAGTATACTCACTCAAAGCCTTTGATGGAAGCATTCCTTTATCAGTCACTCTGCAGCGAATAAATACATTTGTGTCTTTCCGTTCCTGTAACATCCAGACAAGATTAAGTGACCTGTGATTTATCTGCTCAATACTGCATTTACATGTTGTGTTAACTCACTTTTTATCTAACACAAGTGCTCCTCAATTTATCAACAGTACTAATGGACAAATAAAATAGATCATTTATGTTTAGTTACTTTATGTAGATTTGTTTATTTACATTACTTACATTCATCTAAAGCAGTGTTGACAAGTTATTTCTACATAATAGCACACATACATCACTCACTCAGTACATACAACTCACTGTTCATGTTGTGATGTGCTCATCTGCAATTCTTTTAGAACCTTTTCCTGCCAGATATTAAATAGACATTTATTAATTGTCTTTAAGATGTATATGGTTTATGTAAATTCATTTTGGTGGCGTACGTGTGTTTACTGGATCTCCCCTGTTCTATTATACCTAATAAAATGTGTTTTTACAGCAAAATCACAAATATACTATACTGTCTAGCGTCTTACACCCTCAACAATTGAACAGTTTCTACAGTAGTAGCTCAACAAATGTGATTTTAACAGGAACATATGTCTGTGATACATTACTCACCGCTGCAAAAACATGCTGTAAGTACGTTAGAATCCGTGGAAGCTCCCCTCAGCACAAACACAAATATGCTGATTGGGTCAT